TGTACACCATCATCGCCCTATTGTACTTAATGGAGGAATTGTGAGAAGTGGGGATCAACCGGTTTTTTACCACATATGACCAAATCATTTCCTGTCATTGATGTCAAGGGGCTTTAAGGAAAGCTTCCCCGTTGTTGAAACGGTCCAAGTCTTGCATGGTCTACAAATAAGTCAACGCGCCTCTTCCACTTGCTCGCCGATGGATGCACCAAAATTTCATTACCTATGGCATTAAACACATCCAAAAAAACCATAGTGAGTGTTAATAATAGAAGACAAGAACTTTACCACTTTACCCCTAACTCTCACTACGTCTCCTCGATTGGGGTTCATGGCAGCATAAAACTCTTTTACCAAGGCCTCGGATACATGCGTAGTGGGGGCAAACAATGTCTCCCAACCATTCTCTACAAGCCTTCTCTTAACATATTCCGACACGGGCTCTTGGGCTTCATCAATTCCCTTCTCAACTAGGATCTCATGTGCTGTGAAGTCGGGACTCTTTATCTTCAATCTCACCCATTTGATTTTATGGTGTTTGTTCGGTAGAATCGAGCTCCTTTTCATTGGCCTCCTTAAGTGGCTCTTTTGCTCCTCTTGGCACCCTAGCCCTCTTGGCTTTTCTAGATGGACTAGCCTCGACTTGGCTTGGAAATTGCACCAGGCGCAATTTCTTCAACATTTTTCTTCTTTCGTATTTTCTTCGCCACTTGGGTCAAGCACACCTTCTCCTCTAAGGTGTTTGCAGTAGCAACGAAGTTTGGGTCAGAAACATTCAAACTCGATAAAGAAGGGGACTTAAGTTTTGAGGATGACGAAGATGATTCCTCCATGGCCTCATTAGGTTCATCCACACGACCGAATACTCCTTCTTGCTCTTGTACAGGGGACTCATCAACATCTTGCTGTGACTCATGCACCGGAGTACGTACTCTCACTTCATATTGAGATTGTAACGACCCAGACTTTCCCACACAATTCTAGGTCATGTTAACTACCCAACTAATTCACTTAACCCCTAAATACGTCATGCCAACTCCCTATACAAACAAATATTAAAATCAAGTTCCAACTCTCATCAATTTAACGATAAATCAATCTCATAGTATATCATTCAACAACATTCGTGGACCACCTCACGAGGCAAGTTTATTATTATTCAAACTAGGCAAAACTCAATGCATGGAATCAGACTAACATAGGCACCTATCCCGAAATGAAACTAACAACAAGGGGGAATATCCCAATTATTCAAATACGAACAAATAATCTATTGACCCTAACATAAGGTCTTAACTAATCAGTTAAGCTAAGCAAGAGTGCCTAACCAGCCTATGGTCCTCGCTCGTCATGTCTCCTCCGTCCCATCACCATGGTCGCCCACGAGTCCTTCACCTGAAACAATCATTGTAGAAGGGGGGTGAGTATATAAAATATACTCCGTAAGTAGCCCTCACCAACACACACACACATCATGCTCAACTATATCAGGAAACATTCGTAGTCATGCTTTTCAATACATTAGGCATCCAAACATAAACACATTCCATAAAATTTAGTGACAACCACAAGTAGGAAGCACGTTAACAACCAACCTCTAGTCTCCCTAACATCACAAGTACCTCTATTCTTATCACAGATATCCTACTCTTCCACAGTTATCTCATTCGAGTGGAGTCGGCCCCTGACCATTTATACCCAGAGCCCCGACACTGCTGCATCGGCCCTCGACCATTTATACCCGAGGCCCCGATGACTTCACCATCTATNTGACTTCACCATCTATTGGCCCTTGACCATTTATACCCAAGGCCCCAACAGACTTCCTTCCAAAGGACTCCTCGTATCCACCCTTGACCATTTATACCCGAGGCCTCGATACTCCATTAGTGACGTATCAGCCCCCGACCATTTATACCCGAGGCCCTGACACCCACTCTTTCATTCCCTTCAAGAATCCAACATTTACCAGAGTCTCACCATAAACTTTCTGATACCACCAACCCTGCATCTTTCAACCCACAAGTACAATTCAACATGTTTCACAACCCAGACGACTTTTAAAAAAACGAGATAATAACCCAATCATGCTCGATATCCAACATCATTAATTAACAAGTATTACCACGGATAATAGCTCACAAAACACGCCGAACTAAACATGCATATATAGGCAACCAACATTTCCACAGCAATACTCAACAGTTTAGCAAGCATAAATCTCACTATTTTCATCGACAAACATCCAACACAACTCCAAGTATATCGACCAACACAACGAAAATTAATTAGCACAAAGACGTAAAAGAATTTGCATAAATCGCTACAAAATCAGCACGTTAGAGACCATTTCGCATACATTAACACACRCWCACGCMCCTTGTCTACTTACACACAATCGCGCCCTTAAGTTTTGCKTCRACCTCACACCTAAGCACACCAAAACAGAAAATACARCACGTTACGTACGCTATTTAGCCTTCGAAATCAACTCTAAAASKGTYSRAWKRMGCATTACCACCAAAACCGACTTCGTATAGATGTGGGTCACCTAGATCTAGCTCGCCAAGGTGTGGGTAGCCTAAATCGAGCTTCGAACGAATGTGGGTCACCGCCAACGTCCTAAACACTGCTGTAACGTACAAATCCCGCCGCTGGAGTTGTTGTTCGTCGGATCGTAGCAGCA